GCAGCTTCGGTCGGGTGAACTGACAGTTACGTCTCTGTACTGATGCAGTAAGGCAACTGTTAGGATATTCATCCAATATCCTAAGAGAATTATTGGTCAAATCCTATTGGTCGATTTCTATTTGTCCAAATTATGGTTGTTTTATCTGTCAAAGTCAAATACTTCAATTTTGTCTCTTGTTAGTCATCTTGACTATCAATGTCACTTCAAATGTTACTTCCTATTGGTCGTCTTTTCTGTCAATGCCACAGAATTCGATACTGTTTCCTATTCGACCAAAATGTATAAATACGCATTATCTGTAACACTTTATGACCACGACCAGGACCAGGGCTCGGTCCCGGATCCCTAGTCCGGGATCCTGATTCTCTTCTGGATTCGGACGTCGTACCTTCTGGATGCTCGTAGAATACATGTTCTACTTCATATCACGTCTTCTTAGTTTTACTAAATATGGGGGTTGGAATAATCGGGTTTGAGTAGCATGTCGTGTCACCGGATCGTCGATCCCAGCTCTCGTTCACTGACTAAGTCAACTCGTAATAGTTCAAGTATATCAAGTTGGCTTGTTTACGTGCAGGCGTAACAGCAACCTGAACTTATGTACAAAGTTCTACGTTGTAACTGACTGACTGACTGAAATCTTGTTTTGTGTTATTATTCTCTACCATCATCGAAATTTTTGCCGATATAATCTAACGACGAATAGTCTTCAATTTTTACTTACTTACTTTACTTACTTACGCCTGTTACCCCCAATGGAGCATAGGCCGCTCACCAGTTTTCTCCAACCAACTCTGTCCTGGGCTTCCCTCTCTAGTTCTGTCCACTGTTTGTTCATTCCTCTCAAATCTTTCTCTATTTCTCGGCGTAATGTGTTCCTTGGTCTTCCACTTTTACTTTTGCCCTGAGGATTCCAAGTGAGGGCTTGTCTCGTGACGCAGTTAGGTGCTTTTCGTAGTGTGTGTCCTATCCACTTCCACCGCTTCTTCATGATTTCCTGCTCCACTGGAATTTGGTTTGTTTTCTCCCACAGTACGTTGTTGCTGATGGTGTTTGGCCAACGAATACGAAGTATTTTGCGTAGACAACTGTTAATAAACACTTGTATCTTCTGGATGATGGCTTTGGTAGTTCTCCAAGTCTCCGCTCCATACAGTAGAACTGTCTTGATATTTGTATTGAAAATCGTGATTTTGGTTTTGGTTGAATGTTGTTTGGAGTTGCAGATATTTTTCAACTGTAGAAATGCAGCCCTTGCTTTGCCAATCCGTGCCCTCACATCTGCATCGGAACCACCTTTCTCGTCGATTATGCTGCCCAGATACGTAAAGGTGTTAACGTCCTCCAAGGCATCTCCATCAAGAGTGATTTGGTTGTTGCATGTTGTGTTGCATCGGAGAATTTCGCCTTTTCCTTTATATATATTGAGACCTACTGCTGCAGAGACTGCTGCTACACTGGTCGTCTTCTGTTGCATTTGTTGTTGCGTGTGCGATAAAACAGCCAAATCATCTACGAAGTCCAGATCGTATAGCTGCGTCCTAACTGTCCATTGGGTACCGTGCGTCTCTCCAGATGTCGACGTTTTCATAATCCCGTCGATCACCAGGATAAGGAGAAAGGGTGAGAGTAAGTAACCTTGCCTCACACCGGTCTTCACCTCGAAAGAGAGTCTGTTAGCTATCCTTGGTGTACGATTTTACAGTTGAATCTATCATAAGAGTTCCGTATGATGTTAACTATTTTCTCAGGCACACTGTAGTGTCGAAGAAGCCTCCACAGTGTTTTTCTATCCACACTATCGAATGCTTTCTCGTAGTAGATGAAGTTGATGTAGAGTGGTGAGTTCCATTCAATTGATTGTTCCTTAATGATCCGTAATGTAGCTATTTGGTCAGTACACGATCGATCCTTATGAAATCCGGTCTGTTGATCTCGAAGTTGGGTGTCTATGAAGTCCTTCATTCTGTTTAACAATACCCTGTTGAAGACTTTGCCTGGTATTGAAAGAAGAGTGATGCCTCTGTAGTTCTCACACTTGCTGAGATCGCCTTTCTTTGGTATTTTGATCAGGTATCCTTCTTTCCAATCTGATGGTACTTGTTCCTCATCCTAAATCTTCTTGAAGAGGATGTAAAATATTTTCGCAGTTGCTTCTACATCCGCTTTCATTGCCTCTGCTTGAATGTTGTCTGGTCCTGCTGCTTTGCCGTCCTTGATTTGTCTGATGGCCATACTGATCTCTACTATCGTAGGTGCGCCAATATTAATTGGGAGATCCGTAGATGCTGCTTCGATGTTGGGTGTGTTCAGTGGTGGAGCTGGTCGATTCAATAGTTCCTTAAAGTGCTCTACCCACCTATTTCGCTGTTGTTCAGTGTTGCTGATTACTTTGCCTTCCTTACTTTTCACTGGTCGTTCTGGTTTACGATAGTTTCTGGCGAGCTTCTTTGTAGTTTCGTACAATTGTCTCAAGTTACCTTCTCTTTCAGCCTATTCCGTTATCGTTGCTAGATCCTCCACATATTTTCGTTTGTCAGCTCTGATACTCTTCTTCTTATTATTATTAATGATTATTATTTTGATCAGCTTGATTCACCTTTTTTTTTATTCATGGCATCATGGAATATCTACTACTAGAAATAATTTAATTCATTCAAAAGTGTCAATAAGATATATATATAATTTGTTGTTGTTGACTTTTCATTCTTCTTTCTTTGTTTTTTTTCTCTTTCAAATTGTTACTACTACTACTATATTTATAACTATGAATGCACAGAAGGCACACAATTTCAAAGAATAATAATAAAGAAATGCAACATTCTTTTATTCAAAATGAATTTGTATTGAAAATGGAAGAGTTTATTTAATGCCTTTCTAAGTAATGTCAGCACTGCCAATACACTTCTACTACCGCTACTTCTATGCAATTTACATCTTTGTGTTAATGTGATAACGGTAACTTGAACTAATGTACGTATGTACAAAGTTCTATGTTTTAACTGGCTGACTGACTGGTTTCAATCAATCAACAGTTACGTAGAACTTTGTACTTACGTTTATAAGTTCAAGTTGCCATGTCACATTTGTACAGAGATGCTATTGTCAATTCAAATACCATAGTATTAGTAGAGGTAGTGTGGTGCGCGCTACTTATAAGTAGTATATGACGTGAGTGTAAACGTAATGTCTGACAGCAGAAGATGGCGGAAGATCAAGAGAAAGGAAGAGTTAAAAGAACACAATGGAATTTGTATGAAACGCATGAATAAGTGAAATGTCAGACAATGGATTGATGATGGATTGAAGATTTGAAAATTGACCGTTTACGATATGGTTTTCCTATTTTACTGAGTAACTCTGTAATTTTCGTTAAATACATTTCGGTTGCCCTCACCTGTGTTCTCCTTCACTACAGTAGTAGAAGTATTGCCAGTCATCGCAAATTTCAGGGTTCGGAGATATTATTCAAGAAGTAGAATTTAGTGAAATAAACTTAAAAAGAAGAAGATAAAGGTGATGAAGAACTCTGAAGGTTAGGAATTAAGAGAACATAAAGAATGAATGCACCTGTACCATTGCAAACGGTTTTGAGCCATGTCACTCAAGGTCTCTAACCATCGATTATTATCATCTCGTGGACCCCGACCAGTTAGTCGAAACCTACCACCGACATGACTCAGTCCACTTGTCAGTACCTTCATGGATTTGTGCCATGTTTTAGTCTGGCCGCCCCTAGCTTTCTTCTAACTTATTCTTACATCTCAAAACATTGCTCGATGGGGCAGTTGGTGGTCGTCTGATTTTGTCGTTTGGATATTCCAAGTCAGGAAGGAGGTGAGATTCTTAACTGGAAATCGATCCCTCATAATTGTATTATATGTGTATGCACAATTTCGTAATAGCGAAATTTTCACTACCCGACATGAGACACAAGATGATAATAAGAGTGTTTGAGCCTATTTGCATCGACTGATGAAGTTTCAATACTTCATCTGTTGAGCTGCTATCCTTACCTAGGACGAGTTTCTTAACTATAGCATTGCTTACTCGGTTATCCCATGATATTCGAGCAATGCTTCGGAAACACCTATGATTGATAACCAGTAACCTACGAATATCTTTTACTCTGACTGCCCATGTTTCACAGCCATATATATATATATATATATATATATATATATATATATATATAATACAATTAGTGTACTTTTGTGGTGCGCGCTGTTCTGGAATGGATATGGATCTATCCAACGTATGGCGTTTACTAGTTCCCGCTGCTTGGACACGGCGGCATGCACACTCTCGATAAATTGCAACGCCAACAACTGTGCCCCCGACTCCACATCCATACTCGGCAGCGCACGGTGCAGCAACATCATGAGCTCCACAGGCAACACCAGTGGGTCACAGACAACCCCGCCAACCGGAACATCTGCGGCGCCTCCTCCCTGTCCACTGGGCCGACGAACTCCGTCACTATTCGCTCCGTGACCGTCTCCCACGCCGTCTTCCCGGAGGCACCGTCCAAGCCGTTGTATACAGCCTTGCCTCACCTCCCCGCAACGTCCCCAGCACCACCAACTCCGCCACGGGAGCTCCTTCCTTCGTGCAGGCAGCGACACCAAATGTAGTGAAGGAGAACACAGGTGAGGGCAACCGAATTGTATTTAACGAAAATTACAGAGTTATTCAGTAAAAATCGTAACCGTTAATTTGCAAATATTCAATCCATTGTCTGACATTTCAATATTCATGCGTCCCATACAAATTCCATTGTGTTCCCACTCTTCTTCCTTTCTTGATCTTCCCCCATCCTCTTCTGCTGCCAGACATTACGTTTACACTCACTCACATCATATACTACTTATAAGTAACGCGCACCACACTTTAAGCGTATTCTACTTGATAATGAAACAAATTATCTGTGTTGTATTGAATTGTCAATAATATTTTACATGTATATCATCTAATGTTTATTTTCATTTTTTTTATAGATATATTCTGTTGATTATGATGAATTAAATGTACATTTACCAAATTCCACATTAAAACGTTTATTTGGTCAATTAACTTTTAATCAACATTTTGATTGGTTATTAAATTGTTTTCAACGTACTGGTCATGTAGCACATATGCCAAATGATTATTTTAAATTAACACAAACATCGAGTATAATTAAATCATCTGATTTCATTCATTCAACATTACATAATCCTTTATTAGGCAATGAATTCATTGTACAACTTGATGTATATCATAATCATAATGATAATCATAATAATAAGAGTAACAATATTGATGATAATATTAACAAGGCGACTACATTATCTCGTCGTTATACTACAACAAATGCTGCTACTGTTACTGGTACCAATAAAAATAACAATAATAAAGATATATCTCTGTCTTCTTCTATACATGGATCATTACGTGTTCCTGTGAAAAATCGTCGATGTTCCGATGATTTTTTCAATGCAACCATTGTGCCACCATCATCAACATCATCATCATCATCGTTGTTGGCAGGAGCGGCGACCACCACCGCAACAACCATGATCTTCCATGAATCATCAACACAATCACAGTATTATTATACAATGAATGGAAGTATTTCATCACCAACAACATCACAACTGTTAGTAGATACTGTCGGGCTGCAAACATCACCATTACCACGTCGTGGACTATTACTGACTACTACTACTAATAATAATAATAATCGTATGACTGATTCAATGTTTGAACAGTCTGTTGTCAGTCATGATAATAATAATAATATGGATTCTATATCAACAGTATCATCTATGTTTTCGCCTAATGAACGACGTGTATTCTATCGATCTGATCGTCATTTTTCACATTTCAATTCAGTTAGATATAAAATGAATACAACTAAAACACTATCAAATGGTATTCATAATGATTCGACTATTTCTAAAAATCGTTTGTACATTACAAATCCTTCATCGGAAACACGTTTATCTATTGCAGAATTTATTACTAGAGTACAAAGTGTTGGTTCTATTGGATTAACATTAGAATTTGATGCATTATTTAAAGATAATCCTGTTAAAGGTGCTTGTACACGTTTTGCGTAAGTTATTTTTATTGTATGCATTATGTTTTAACTTTAAAATCATGAATGAATTATTGTTATACACTAGCCTTTAGGAAACCTGAATGCGCTGGACGGGTGTTTCGTCCTGGTATGGGACTCGTAAGCAGTACACATCTACTTCATCCACTTCATCAGTTGAGGTGGTTGGGACACGTGTTGCGTATGCCTAACCACCGACTTCCTCGTCGAGCTTTATTTTGTAGTGTAGGAATAGGTTGGAAGAAAGCTAGGGGCGGCCAGACCAAAACATGGCATAAATCCATGAAGTCATTGACGAGTGGACTTAGCCATGTCGGTAATTGTCGACTACCTTGTTGGGGTCCGCGAGATGATAATAATCGATGGCTAGACACCTTGAATGACATGGCTCAAAATCGTTCGCAATGGCGCCAGTGCATTTATTCTTTGTGTTCTCTCAAATCCTAATCTTCTGGATTCTTCAACATCTCTAGTTTTGACTTTCTAAACTTATCTCATTGAATCATACTTCGTGAATAATATCTTCTAATTCTAACCTCTCCGATTACTTCTAATACCTTTACTACCTCTTCTACTATTGGATTTGAATTGACAATTATATCTCTGTGGTGATGTGGTATGGCGACATGAACTGATGTACTTACGTACGAAGTTCTACGTTGCAACTGACTGACTGACTGACACATCTACAACTCCTGCAACTTGCACGATTTGAAACCAGGACCTTCGGTCTTGTTCGCGAACAGATCAATGAGCCAGCATCCAACAGTGTTAATGTCTACTAACTCTGATCAATCTAAAGATTATACGCCACCTCAACCCATGGTCTTCGCTAGTTACCGCCTACACCTGACTGGGTTGAACTCCTACTGGTCAAGTCTTTTCATTAGAACTCTGAGAAACTTATGAAGTTCATCACTATAATGCGATATCATTTATTTATTTGTGTAGAATATGCATAGAAGATGGTCAAATTTTCATTTCTATTTTTGTAATCTTTATATTGGAAGAATTTATGCCACTTCACCCCCCTGTACGATTGTTTCATCGATTTTTAATTCTTTTTAAAAAAGTTACCTGAATAAAAATATTTCATTGATCTGTATACATTTCTCCATAGCAAGTAGTCATTCAGTTACAACGTAGAACTACGTACTTATGTGTACATAAGTTCATGTTGCCATACCACATTAGCGCACAGAGACGCAGATGTCAAATCAAATCCCATAGTGATACAGATAGTAGAGGTGGTATTAATGGTAATGAAGAAGACTAGGGTTTGAAGATATTATTCAAGAAGTATAATTCAGTGAGATAAGGTTAGAAAGACAAAGGTAGATGTGCTGACGAATCCAGAAGTTTAGGATTTGAGAGAGCTCAAAGAATGGATGCACTTGTGCCATTGCAAACGATTTTGAGCCATGTCGTTCAAGGTCTCTAACCATTGGTGACTTTCGTCTCGCGGACCCCAACCAGGTAGTCTACATCTACCAACATGATTCAGTCCACTTGTCAGTGACTTCATGGATTTGTGCCATGTTTTGGTCTGGCCCTCCTAGCTTTCTTCCAACCTATTCCGACATAACAAAACATACTTCGTCGAGACAGTCGGTGGTTAGCCATACGTAACACATGTTCCAACCACCTCAACCGATGAAGTTTCACCACTTCATCTATTGATCTGCCATCGTTAACTAGTACTTATTTCCTAACGACAGCATTGCTTACTCGGCTGTCCCACGATATACGAGCAATGCTTCTTAAACATCTATGATCGAATACTAGTAACCTACGAACATCTTCTACTCTTAACGGCCATGTTTCACAGCCATATAGGAGAACGGAGCGAACTACTGCACAGTACACTCGTCCTGTAGTCAACAAACGGATATCACGCCTACGCCATAAGTGACGCAGGTTGGCAAAAGCCAATCAAGCTTTCTGTATCCTCGCTGAGATTTCATCAGTCATCAGGTTATCATCGCTGATGATACCGCCCATAAATAAGTGAAGCAATCTAACACGCTCGACTATACTTCACTCCCTATCACACTAATTCTCATAGTGCAAGTAGGCTATAATCATTAATGAAAGAAAATCAAAACTCTTGTAGAGGTGGTTTCGTTCGTTCGTTCGTTCGTTCAATTCTCCTTTCCTTTTTTGTTGATTTGGGAAGCCTATTTTTGGTGGTATTTGCACTGAACATAAATAATTAAATCAATAAATCAATGTCATATGCGCACGAGAATAACAGAGATTATTTGAAAAATTCATTTTGAACAACACCAATAACAACTACTACAACACAAAACCATTCAATCCTTGTAAACAAACACAATGTATTTTTTATTGATTGATTGAATCACTTCTATTTTTTTTTCTTTCCCAATCATACATACCCACCAATCTACTACTACTAACTATCATTCTTTTATTATTATATGGTCTAAAATTTCACACATTATTGTTTTTGTTGTATGCACAATTTTTCATGATTATTGTAAATTTAGTCCTAAATAATTATCATATAATATATATACTAAGTTATATAATATATGTCCCACTAACACAGGGATTGATTGGAGTTAGACATTAACTCAGATGGATGATGGCTCAGTGGGTGATCTAGAGGTTAGGCGTTCACACGTGAAATCAAAAATCTTGGGTCGGATTCGAGCGAGTGACAGTCATGTTTGTGCGCATTACTGTGAGGAGTCTCATACAAGGAAGAAATGGCCGTTCCGTACTTTCAGATTTCTAATGGTGATGGTCTAACTCTTTTGATTTTAATTAAAAAAAAATTGAATAGTCATTTTCTGAAAAATTTACTTCAAGTCTTATATATCAGTTTATTGATAACAATGAGTTATAGGTTCGTTTACTTCACCTAGGCTACTTTTACAACAATATCGTTAGTAAAACAGAAACTTAGTTGTTAGGAGCATCCAACCTTCAATTAATTAATCGTCAAGTTGAACCATAGTTCATATATGTCTATTTGGTCAACTGAAGAGTATCACTAGCCTCTTACACACAAATTACAGCTTAACACTTCGTCATCATCATATCTACGATATGGTTGAAGTCTTCTGGTAATAATAAGTCGGCAGACTGAAACATTGACTTGTGAAAAAAAAGCTAACAATTATATAGTTATAAACAATTGCGACGTACGTGTCTTGAATAATCTTGTAAATCATCCCTGGTTAATTGATTTACAGAATTTAGTATTAGATTTATATATGTAAAAGATTCGTTGGATCCGCTCGCCAGAGATCTTCTTACAATGGATTTAATTTTCAAAAACGCGAATTCCATTGGGTTAAGCATGTATATAACTATAGGGAGGCAAAAACATAACGTTTACTCCTTTTTCATCAAAAAAGTTTTTTGTGATATATAATTGAGTGATGAATCCTCGGATTATCAAGTATAAAAATACAATTCTTAAAAATTGATTTTTGATTGCATTTTTCAATTAGTTGATCAAAAAACTGAATGAACTTATCTGAATTCACCGAATCAATAAATGTTTTAGCAAAGAGAACTTCATTTTCTGTTATAGCCGATATTAAACTTATATTGGTTCCACGCGTTGATGAAACTAGGGCAGTTGCCGGTTTTCCTCTTGTAGATCTTCCCAAATTAAAAGAAGATTCATCTATAAAAACTTTTATAAATGTATCTTCAATGTTCATAAAATTTTGAGCATAAATTTGGCGTTTGTTTTTACTGGATTCCGAATTTATATTGACCGATGTATAAGAAATCTTTTTCAAAGTAATCTGAAGTCTATAAATTATCCTTCTTATAGATTCAAGAGAAAGGCCTGTAGAAAATATGTTTTCTATTTTTTCTCGAATTTCTACCATCGTTTAATTCTATCAATTCTTCAACAAAATTGATAATATATATCATCGCATATCTTCTTATTTGATGGTTTTCCTGTTTTTTTCTTCTCAACTCGCGATTCCTTTTTATATATACAACCTTATAATATATATTTGTAGCGTCCTGATAGTTTACATTTGTAAGAAATGCCGCATCCTTGACGCTCTGTATCCATCTTCAATAACTTTTTTTTATAAGGCTTTTTCTTTTTTTCATTCGAAATCAAGTTGGTTTTTCTATTTATTTCTGACATTCTAAGGATTACAAAAAATTTTAAAAACCGCTGTTAAAAGTTTAAAAAACGAGTTGAAATACTATATATATATATATATATATATATATATAGTGTTTATATATATTCAATCAGTTGACAAGACAATTGGATTTAATATTATCCGTATTATTATTATTATTATTATTATAGTGATGATTTTCACAAGGTTACAAAGTTATATAATATAAGGTAATTTAGATAACTAACTGATTGGTAGGTAGGTAGGCGGTGGTAATCGTGAACCACCATCAAGGCTTTATTCTAGTAGTTATTGACACACTAGTTTTTGGGGACGTTAGATGCCCACTTAGATCTCACTTGGAAAAAGGTTCTAATTTTGTAATTTTTTATTTGGAAATTTTGAATTTGCATGTTTTCGCGCCAGAGATGCTTAGTGTGTTGTTGACCTTTAGCTTAGATTGCCTCCCACCTTCGGAAAATCGATTAACTGTCATTGGTTGATGGATTGATTATTTTAGTTCGCAAAATTTGTGGCTCTTACCAGGGGCGTTTCTGTCATCCCGGCTGCCCATACCATGGTAGAGTTCTTTCTGTATTTGTTGTGGACGTTTGATCCCCAGAACTCGCTCGAAAACAGTCTTAATTTTGTAATTTATTCATGAAATTTTTTAATCTCTATGTTTCTGCGTCAAGAGGTTGCTTATTTGACCTACAGCTTACATTCCCCACTTGGAAATCCTTGACTGTCAATGGAAGCTTGATTTGTGTGCTGGGTATATCTGGGTGCTTGTAGAATCCATTCTCTCTACACCTTACCAAGACTTCTTGCTTTTGTTAGCAGGGTCAGGGACAACAGATTAGAATAGCCTATCGTGTCACTGTATCGTTGACCTTCGTCTCGTTTAGCGAGTAAAGCGAACTCATAATAGCATTCAAACAAATCAATTGACAAGTAGTTAGTGTGGTGCGAGCTACTTATAAGTAGTATATGACGTGAGTGGCAACGTAATGTCTGACAGCAGAAGATGAGGGAAGATCAAGAGAAAGGAAGAGTTAGATAGAACACAATGGAATTTGTATGAAATTTGTATGAATAAGGGAAATGTCAGACAATGGATTGATGATGGATTGATATTTTGCAAATGAACGATTTACGATATGGTTTTCTTATTTTTAACTGAGTAACTCTGTAATTTTCGTTAAATACACTTCGGTTGCCCCACCTATGTTCTCGTTCACTACAAACATTTATCAGTTCAACAACATAGAGTGTTAGCTAGGTAAATAACATTTTAACAAAGAAACAATTAGAGGGGGCGGGGGAAATATGAGAATTACTTCATTCTGTAATATAATTAATTTCATGAAGGTCTTCATTATACCATAAATACAATGAAATCAACCAATCAATTTGGATTGATTGATTTTCCTTTTTCTCATCTATTTACGTTCTTCTTCTTCTTGTTCTATTCAAAATGAGATTTTCTCATGTTCGTTTGTTCAATTTTTTCTTTTGATAATAATAAAAAAAGTACATACCACACAATCATGTTTTTTCACGATAATTAAAAGAGTAAAAGTACACTTAGACTACTAGATAGATAGATAGAGGGAGAGAGAATTAAGTTCAAATATTCATTCATGACCCCGAAAATGTTTTCATCATTGAAAGGGATTATTATTTTTTTCCTTTTTTTTGTTTGTTTCAAAAATACAATCGATTCTCTTCAATTTATTTTAAGTTTCTCCTTTTTTTTTGTTTCACATTTGTACAACATCATATATATATATATGTATATAGACAAGCATCAAATAAACGTCGTAATCGTTATTTAGATGTGCCTTGTTTAGATTCAACAGCTGTAGAATTATCTGATAATACATATATTCATGCAAATTGGGTTGATGGTTATCGATGTCCACGTGCTTATATCTTAGCTCAAGGTGAGTTTTATATTTTTTGTGAATTAATGTTTAAATAAACTTATAAATAAAATCATAATTGTCATTATGTTATTATTATTATTATTTTGAAACCATGAATCGATCAATGTTAGACCAGCACCATTAGAAACCTGGAAGAAGCACTGAAAGACGGCCGTTTCGTCTTGGTATGGGACTCATCAGTGGCAGTGTGCATTCACGACTCCTGAACCCCGAAGGATTCGAACCCAGGTTCTTCGGTATTGTAGGTGAACGCCCAACCTCTGAACGACTGAGCCGTTATCTAACAGTGTTAATGTCTAACTTGATCAAATTCACGGAGTTGCGCAACCTCATACACAGTCTTCGGTAGTGGTTACTGTCTACACCCGAACAGAATTGAACTTCACTGGTCACGTCTTCCCACTAGAACACTCGGAGAAGATTCCTCACGAAGTTAGTCACTAGTGAGCACAGGTAATTTGCATTACGGGTTTGTTGTGAAGATTGTCATGGTTTCAAAAAAACTTAACAATCTTCACAACAACCCTGTAATGCAGATTATTATTATTATTAATTGTTCCCGATTGAAAACCAGTTTACATTGGACACTTGTTTCGTCTTAATTCTGCATTGCTACTCTGTTACGCATGCATGTAAACACATCATTTGATATGCTTGAATTATTATTACGAGTTTGCCTTAGTCGGAAAACGAGAGTGAGGATCTAGGATCCGGCGACACGACAGACTGCTCTAATCTGAGCGTCCCAACCCCCTGTTGAGTAAAAGAAGAAGACATGATATGAAGTAGAACTTGTATTTGTTAGTGGGACGTAGATGGAATTAAAGCATGACTACGTTGCTACGCGCTGATTGACTAATTTCCTATCCAATCAGCGCCTGATCGAATCTTGGAGAACAGGGTAGAAAATTCTCATATTGTTAACTGCGTGCTGATTGGCTATTCATCTAATCCAGTCGATCACGTGAATTTCTATCCAGAAGCTTTCTCATGTAAATGCTATAAATAGACTAGCGTTGTATTTATGCTTTGCCTTCGCCTTCGCCCATCACCTCTGGCTTCTTATTCCTTGCTATTTTGGAATATAATCTTTTCCTGTTTCAACCGTGTTTTTGATTCTTTGGAACACTTGTCCAGTGTTTTGTGTCAGAGAATATACTAAGCAATAGGATTTAGCCGGGAATTATCTAAGCAAGCGTTACAATATAAACAAAACATTCTTCACATTGATCTTGACCTCTTTTTAATATTCCATCAAGTTAATAATACTAAGTCATTTTATTCATAAATAAATACAGTTGAGGATATTCTATATGTGGTCGAATTCCATTGTTGACTAAACTAACCTTCGATTTTTTTTTTTAAAAAAAATGCAAATTAAACTATAATCACAATCTAATTAAACTGTTCACACAATCTACAAAAAAAGGGTCGGGGGTAGGAAAAATGACTGAACTGTACAATTAATTTATTGTGATCTACAGGTGATGAAATAATGCACATATTGTGAGAATTAGATTTAATTACTTTCTCTCTCTCTCACACACCTGGATGATGAAGTTCACGCTTTTGAGTATGTTAGGTTATTCATCTAAAATATCCCAAGGGAATTATTTTTGTAAGTTTAATTCTATTGGTCAATTCCTACTGGTCAATATTATGGTCGTCCTAGCCTATCAATGTCACGTACTTCAATATGATTTCTCATTTATCGTCCTAACTTTCAATATCACAGACTTCAATGTTGTTTCCTATTCGACCTAACTGTATAAATACGCATTATCTGTGATGTTTGATGACCTGGATCCGGATACCTAGTCCAGGATCCTGATTCTCTTCTGGACTCGGACCTCGTATTTTCTGGATGTTTGTAGAATACTATTGTAACACTTGCTTGAATGATTCCCAGCTAAATCCGATTGCTTAGTATTCTCTGACCACAATACACCGGACAAGTTCCAAAGAATCAAAAACGCGGTTGAACAGGAACTGATTATATTCCAAATAGCAAGGTTATATGGAATAAGAAGCCGAAGGCGAAGGCAAAAATAGATACAACGTTAGTTATTTGTAGCATTTATATGAGAAGATTCTGGATATAAATTCACGTGATCGACTGGATTAGATTTAACCAATCAGCATGCAGCTAACAATACGAGAATTTTCTACCCTGTTCTCCAAGATTCGATTAGGCGCTGATTGGATAGGAAATTAGTCAATCAGCGCGTAGCAACGTAGTCATGCTTTAATTCCATCGATGTCCCACTAACAGTTTATGTTTATATATATATATATATATATATATATATATATATATATATATATATATATATAATATACATGATTCAAAGTTAAAATGACTGCTGAGCAATGTCTCTTGTGCTTTCTCTAATTACCACTTCTATTTTTCACTTTCTTAATTTATTTCACTGAATTATACTTCTTAAATCATATCTTCGAACTGTAATCTTCTTCCATTACCGCTAATACTTCTGCTATCGCAAGCACTGTGGAATTTGAACTGACAGTTGCGTCTCTGTGATATTATGGTATGGTAACTTGAACTGATGCACATACGTATGGAGTTCTACGTTTCAACTAACTGATGTGTTGTGGATCTTTACAAATGTGCTAGTTTCTAGGTTTTTTATGATTCACTTGTGAAGTTGAGAAACATTACAATTGATTTCTCCTCACTATTAATCGAAGGAATCTATACCATATGCCTGTCGATGACGGACAATTCCACAAAAACTCACGATCAACAGGCGGTTATATGAGCACAGCTGCAACAGACGATTGTCAGAATCTGTTCAATGAATCGCGACACCATAAATTCATCAAGGAATATTCACTGCACTTAATCCACATAACTGAGCATTAAAATCAACAGCCAATATTTATTACATCAGGATGCCCAACGTTTTGTGAAGAAGTTTGCAAAGGTTTCCGTAAAACTCACTCTTCACCTCATCCGAGCTGCCAACGTTGGGAGTGTACACAGTGACATCGAAGAGGCAACGACCAGTGTCCCTGTCTTTCCCATTTCCTACGGTCCTGTGTAGTCGCTCAGCGCACAAGTGACAATCTACTGGAACTCAGTCTAAGAGAACTAGTTCTACTTCACAAATCAATGCTTTACCTACACCAGTGAGACCACAGGAATCATCATCTGGCATTCCAGATACACGAAGCATAAAAGTTGTCTCTATCTGCACCAGGCGAAATTAAATTATTGTGTTTGTTAGGATCCTGTATGCACGCTGTGAGGTGATGACAGTATACGAGGACAGTTAGTTGTGGAAACAAGAGAGTTATTAGGAGTTGGAGGAAGAATTTGACTGTTATTAAGTCAATCCGGCATGCTGTTGAGGGTATGAGAGTGGATGTCATATGCCAGTTGCTCAGACCGCGGAAGCGTTTTTGTTGAGTATCCTGGAAAGGAATTTGGGATAGTGTCGGTCTTAGTGACCTGGGAGCGTAACCACAGAACTCAAGGGAAAGCTGCTTGAGGTCGGACACGCACTACCGTGTCACGGGAGGTTTTTGAATTGTTAGCTCCGATCTTCAAAACGCCCTAACACCAGAGACGAAAATCTGTGTGTTGACGTGAGGTATAACATCGTTAGGGTAGACATATTCTAATCACTTCCTACGTCGTGAGAAGGCAACATCACTGCGCACGCATGCTGGTTGTCCGACGGAAAAAGCTTGCCGCTGTCACAGTCTCTAAAGCCAGCAGTGCGACTTCACCTTCAGACACAAGTTGTTGCTTTTAGTCCAACCGTCCAACAATCGACATGTCTAGCGTGGTAGCACGTACACGAACGAGTGTTCCAGCCAACATTGCTCGGTTCAGCAATCACCATAAGCATGTCCGACCATCACCTCAAGGCAGCAACTACGCTCGTGTTGCCAACTGCAACTTCACGTGCATGTCAATCCTGTAGTGAGACGCTTCCATAAAGTCAACACTGATGATATCCCCTGATTCTGTATCTTAAATTGTTGATCAAAGTTAGTTTCGTTAACGGATTGACAAACTACTGAAATAACGAAACTCATCAACAAATTCGAACATATCTAACAGTCAAATAAATCATGCTACTAATTCACACTCCACCAAATTGAAGAATATTATCGACTACTAACAACTATACAGTGATCAACTCACAAGTAAGATGACCAGTATCGAACGAAATTCATTCATGCAATAAGAAAAACAAGTGTTTACGCTTGAAAACTGGGTCATGGAAATTAATAACTCACCAGAATGATCTGTTGTATCAAACAATGATGAATTGACACATGAAACGAGAAAAACCTAGTGTTTACTGTATTGGCAAGTAGACTAATTCCATCAATGTGTGCACTGTCCATCGACAAAAAATGTCATCCACAAACTCAAGAAACTTCTTTGTAGTAATCTAAAACCCCATATATCCTATCATCTAGAACTCTACATCAACATTTCAAATTATGAACAAAACCAATGAACATCGCTTCCAGACAAAATACCCATCAAGCAGTATCTTCACGAAGAACGGAGTGATCTCTAACGAACACAATCATTTAATAATTGACTGACATCGGTGAATTAGGTTAGACCATATTTTTACCAACAAATCGGTTGTTCACTATTTCGTTATTAGCTTAAAACTATTCTAGCACAAAATCCACGTTACAGATGTTCCTAGCAACTTCCATTACCGTGTCAAGCTATCCCAATCTTGACCTGTATGTAGTCTGATGAAAGAACAAGGTTGATACGTTTGCAATCACATCAACACAGGGGAACATCAACAATGCTAGAACACTTTCAAAAACCATCATGTTTAAATAGATAATATTTATTTTAATCATGAAATATATGATCATTTAGTAATCTGTATTTTGTCATTTATGTTTAAATCAATGATGAAGTTTCACATTGTATTCGAATTCTATATAATGAACAAATGACGAACAAATGAATGATAAGAAGAACACATCTCCTTTAATACCATCAACAAACTAGTCGAATCATAACCAGAGCCAACAGTTGTAATGCGTAATAAGCCTTGGCTGGTGAAACGATATTCATTGCGGCACCAGTTGCAGCTGCTACATTGCGATTATTTAAAAACATAAAATAAATGGAAAATTAAACAAATACGTTGAATTCACAATCATTGATTAAATAACTAATAACATCATCAGTCAATGTACCGACTAAAACTGTTTCCACTACTCTCTCTCTCTCTTCATGTGCAGATTTCCAAAAAACAAAAAACTATCAGAACAGTAGTTTCATAAAACGTTCACAATTTACAAACCTGAATAATGAAAGAACCAACATCGTAGCAAACACAATAACAGGAACAGGAATTCATTGATTTCATGCATTCTATTCAGCTGCTTACAAACTAAAACCATAGTACTAATTAATAATCATTAAAACGAAACAGACAGAATTATCAAGAGATCGTGGTGATACGGAAGAACCGAATTCACTCAAGTGCTCACTCAACATATAAATAGGTTATTATATATGTGAATATTCTAGAACAGCATGAAAACAGAGATTGTTGCAGAAACAGAAAACACATTATGTATTATATAGACTAGTCGAGTAAGGTGAGAATGAAGAAGATATTAGAAATTTTGATTACAGTTCATGAGAACAGAAAACAGTCATAACAAACTCACAAAATGAGGTTAACAGAGCACAATAGCAAGATGGATCTGTTGGGAAGAGTTTGATTGAGGTGAATTTTGAATGAACACATAACTGACTATTTATTGTCGGTTCATTCATTCTCTAAGGACGCTGTCTCCATTAGTTTTTAACATAGTCAATCAAACCAATATGATCTTTGTTACTTCAAACAAATAGCAAGAGTACTTGACTAGGAAATACAAGTCAAATGTAAGACCGAAACAGAAATGATTATGCTGCCACAAAGTAAAACACAAAAATACTAAGCTGGAGGAAAGCCACGAATAGCCATGGAGTGATTGATAACTGAATGGAGCAATGTTAATAGGTGTAGACCACCCCTACCTGTATAGGCTCCGCGTGACAATCGTAAACGGTGATTAGAGACTTCTTTGAATGACATTGCTCAAAGTCGCTTTCAATGGAGCGAAAGTAGCCAGCCTTTGTCTGTCTCCAAATTCTAAGCTTGAATCCCTCATGATTTTTCTCTTTCTCCCTAAACTTTGTTTTATCGGACGTACCAAGTTCTATGTTGCGACTGGCTGACTGACTTACTGACTGTCTTACCAACACTGCAGCTTCTCGGTAGTATTTTTTTTTTCGAAAATTAATAATATCAAAAAGAAATGTCAACATAAATTATTTCATGATGATGTAAACTGATATTTGCAAAAATTAGACAATCTACTGGAACTCAATTCAAGAGAATTAGTTCTACTTCACAAATCAATGTTTTACCTACACAAGAGAAACCACGGGTAGCGGCATTGCGGCTTCCAGACACACGAAGCGATAATCGAAACGGGTCTCTATTGTGACAGAATGAGGCTAAATAAGCCACTGAATTCGGATCCTGTATGTGTTTTTCCGAGAAGCAGCATACATGGATGTCTAGAGATTGTAAATTGCTAGTTAAGGATGTCTGTTGTCCTATTGTGCTCAAGGTGTGAACATTATAACCTGCGAGATGTAATTTAGAACGTAGTTCCAGAAGACCAGAAATAGCACTTCGTGTATTCAAATGGTCAGCAATTGCGCTGCGAGGTGCTGACGGTATACGAGGACGGTTAGTCGTGGAGACAAGAGTCATTAAGATGTGAGTTAAGGATTGTGAGCACGTTGGTATCATTTGCGTATTCGATGTTAAGTTCAAGCTGCCAAATAATTATTTGCACATCAAATGCTTTGCGACCATGCGTTTCAAGTATGATCCCCTACCCCTAAAATGTCTATCGTTTGACAGGAACTAAGCTCTGCATATTTCTTCTGTCTGAATTCTGCTCACTTTTCTGCACTTGTTTCTATTTCAGTTGCAACTTTCTACTTATAAGTAGTTTGCATCTTTATATAGAAATATATGAATAACTATCAAGTTACGGCGAATCGACACCGAGACACAGAATTGTAGATTCGTATCTTCTTAAATCAAAATCTGCATTACTCCTGTACTAAAAAAGACTGTGATTTTCTAGTTACACTTGCATGTAATCACTTTGACTCTTTTTTCTCTAACTCAACTCATTTCAAGAGAAGTCAGCCTGAGCTCTTTTTCGTAAGTACCTCTTGCTTCTAATCACCCTTCGGTTCTGTGAACAGATCACCAGAAACAATGCATTGCATCAAAGCACAGGTTCACTGCATTTTGAAACTTCTCATTAGCTATAAACGAACTAAAATTGCAAAGGGTAATATGATTATAAACGAAGCAATAAGATAAGATAATAAGTGGTTGGTGTAAGTCAATATGAAACTTCAGACTTGTACTTTCATGAAAGCTTGATCAATAGAATTTGATCAGTAATAAAGGACTAGATAAATACTTCATTGTTCACCAATCAGTAACTAAGCAAAGATAAGCATCTTAGTGTTAGTGGGGATCTGCGTAGCTTTTCAGACTATGAAGTCTAATTACGCAGTCTCAAATCTCACAATGAACATTATTTTCCTTTAGATCACATGTACACTTTATCGACAAGTGCTAACTAGCATAAAAACGTATGTTCAATGGTTCCTGTTAATTACATCTCACTACCTAACATCTTAACACAATGTATACATTGTCGAATCACTTAGACCTGTGGCTATATTGCAGCTTGTAAATCATAACGAGAGGAAGAGCACAAATTATGATACTTATTGTTACTAATAGCCCTGGGAAATAACAGGTTCATCGAATTTCCTTTATGTACGTATACATACTTCCTTAACTTGTGATAGGAATAGCCTCAACAAAGAAAGCAAAGTAAACGTGACGTTCGTTGTAACTACTTTCAAGATACTCACTTTGTATCTACTACGCCCACCCTCCAGAGGCTAGTGATCACTGTGCATTCAAATACAAGTTTTTCCAGAACCATTTCGGAAACTTCATGGTTTACATCAGGGAATAGTTTTTGACAACCACTGAAAATCAGGAATCACTAAAAACGGCTGTATCGTCTCAGTATAAGATCTCTTAGTGGCATTGCACGACTTAATCGACTGTCGAACCCAAAACTGTCCGGCCTCACAGCGCGAGTGCTTTACCTTTAGAGTATCGATCTGCTTTCCAATAGTTTCTACTGATGTTAATATTTCGGTCAAAAGAAGAATACATTATAAACCTCTTCTGTATAGAATTATTTTCATTTATTGGTCTTTTTAAATTCCTTTCACTTGGTGAGTATTCTTTTCCTTTACATTTGTCCCGTCCGTAGCTGCTACCTTGACGTGGTGGTCGGGCTTGCCTATCGTGATGACCCAACCGAGCTATACTGGCCGGAACATGTGTTCCTTTAGGTTCTACCATACCAGGCAGGTCGATTGGAGAACGATGAGACTAAAAGCATCTACTCAAGGTCTGAGGGCGAATTCTTACTGCTGACCGTACAAAGGTGTGACAGCAGTAAGGTGTTTCCCTCGGACAAGCAGCATCTACAGCGATGCTGCCTTGTCACAAGGAAGGGAGGGTTAGAAAAGGTCGACCCTAAAAATGTCATACCTCACCCTACCTCATGGATTTCTGTCTCCGGTGGTAAGGGTGCCCACTAAAGGCCTTTAGGAGCGGATCTAATCCTCAAAAATCCTTTCATAAAAAGGCCATGCGTGACTGGCCTCAAGCGGTTATCCCTTGGACTCTACGGTCACACATCCAGGTCTCTCAGACCAACACTAATCTATCTTCCTTTTCAGGTCCCTCAAGAAACAACCTTCCACGGTGTGGGCAGCCGGGAAGTGACAACCGCTCTCATACCCATCACAGCACACGAGACCAAATTGGACGAAATCAAATCTTTTACATTTGTCATCTTTTATGATTAGTATATAATGTTAGTTTATGTCAATTCAAATAAGAAGAATTCATTATTATTATTATTATTATCACTTTATTGATTTATTTATCTCCATGTTTCATTCATTCATTCATTGAATCAATCAAGGTCCATTAGAGAATACAATACGTGAATTTTGGATGACTATTTGGGAGCATAAAGTAATTACTATTATAATGCTTACTAAGTAAGTTTATTCACTAATTTTTTTTTGATTATTTTTATTTATTACTAATTAAACTTCTTTCCATATATCTTGGGGTCCGCGGGATGATAATAATCGATGGATAGAGACCTTGAATGACATGGATCAAAATCGTTCGCAATGGCGCCGGTGCATTTACTCTTTGTGTTCTCTCAAATCCTAATCTTCTGGATTCTTCAACACCTCTAGTTTTGACTTTCTAAACTTTTCTCATTTAATCATACTTCATGAATAATATCTTCTAATCCTAACCTCTCCGATTACTTCTAATACCTTAACTACCTACCTCTTCTACTATTGGATTTGAATTGACAATTATATCTCTGTGCTGATGTGGTATGGCAACATGAACTGATGTACTTACGTACAAAGTTCTACGTTGCATCTGACTGACGTTCCATATATACTTACTTACTTATTTATTTACGCATGTTACCCCCCAATAGAGCATAGGCCGCCCACCAGTTTTCTCCAACCAACTGTCTCTGTCCTGGGCTTCCCTCTCTAGTTCTGTCCATTCCATGTATAATAAAGTGGATATACTGTACCGTTTGAACGTAACCACATTAGTCAGTCAGTCAGTCAGACAGATGCAACGTAGAACTTTGTACGTATGTACATAAGTTCATGTTACCATACCTTATCAGCACAGAGATATTATTGTCGATTCAAATCCGATAGTAGAAGAGGTAGTAAGGGAATTAGAAGTAATCGAAGAGGTTAGGATTAGAAGATATTATTCTAGAAGTATGATTCAGTGAGAAAAGCTTAGAAAGTCAAAACTAGACGTGTTGAAGAATCCAGAATATTAGGATTTGAGAGAGCACAGAGAATAAATGCAACGGCGCCATTGCGAACGATTTTGAGCTATGTCATTCAGGGTATATAACCATCGATTATTATCATCTCGCGGACCCCTACCAGGTAGTCGACAATTACCGACATGGCTAAGTCCACTCGTCAATGACTTCATGGATTTATGCCATGTTTTAGTTTGGCCGCCCCTAACTTTCTTCCAACCTATTCCTACACTACAAAACAAAGCTCGTTGAGGCAGTCGATGGTTAGGCATACGCAGCACATGTCTTAACCACCTCAACTGATGAAGTTTCATTACTTCATCTATTGATCTGCCATTTTTAACTAGCACCCGATTCCTAATAACAGCGTTGCTCACTCGGGTGTCCCACGATATACGAGCAATGCTTCGAAGACACCTATGATCGAAAACCATTAACCTACGAATATCTTCTACTCTCACTGGCCATGTTTCACAGCCATAAAGTAAGACGGAGCGAACTACTGCACAGTACACTCGTCCTTTTGTCAGCAAACGGATATCTCGCCTACGCCATAAGTGACGCAGGTTGGCAAAAGTCAATCGAGCCTTCTGTATCCGAGCTGAGATTTCGTCAGTCACCAGGCCATCAGCACTGATGAGACTCCCCAGATAAGTGAAGCGGTCTACACGTTCGACTACTTCACTCCCTATCACTAGTTCAGGTGCCGATGCAACCCAATCTTGAGGCAACATTTTGCATTTCGAGGGTGAGAACCGCATCCCGAACATGCTTGCATTGTTGCTTATGGTAGTCAGAAGACTCTGCATTTTGTCAGCATCTTCACCAAGTAGGACAATGTCATCGGCATATTCTAAGTCAATAAGCGAACCACCTGCTAAAAGGTCTACTCCTGAAAATTCGCACGAGGATAAGTTTATTTTTAGGATCATATCTTATCCTCGTCTGAATTTTCAGGATATACGAGATAACCACATTACCTCAGCATCGTTTTGGTGGTGTACGTGTATTATATGGATCTACAAACTGTCAATTGTGCATCACAATATGATGCTTGTGATCATATTTTCAGAGTCACTTTCAAGCTTTCCGCTCATCATCCCTGGTTTTGAAAAATACTCCCTGTCGTCGATAGGTATCAAGGTTGCGACGACCTATTACTTATTGTATAACGTATTAAAGTTGCCTCTTTTAAAGAATTCTGTTATAAAAGCTGATAACTCAACATTTAGTTTTAAAGGAACGATTGCTACTAATCTTTTATACTTTAACACTTTTCTTTATTATATTTCCTGTTTGTGAGAATAGTTCTATTTATTTCCACTAACTATCCTTCTCACACCTCCAAGTGATAGGTTCTAAAGTAGTCAACATTTCAGAATATATGTCTTAGCGATACCGATACCTTTGTACTGTCAAAACATTAGTTAAGTCAGCTGAATAAAGCTGCAAGTATAATTAATCAATAATAACCACTAGTATCTACTTCAGTTTTGGACTCGAATAAGCAACGAAAGCGCTTATTCTTACTACTGATTTACTTCAATTATGCGTTACGAGATTGATGTTACTATATCTCAACTTGTATTTGTTCTCCCTTATGTTCATATATGAAAATTATTTGCAATGGTGTACCAAAGAAGTACATTAATTAACCTTATCCAAGCTCTCTGCTTGAACACTGGTGTTCAAGTGAGAGCTTATATCGAATTAATTACTTCAAGTGGTATTCGTCACGGTTGTTTATTTTACTTCATTTTCGTTTAACTTTGTCATTGACATGCTTTTAGATACGACACTTTCATCATCAGACTTTTTAGGAAGTTGATTTGCACCAGGAGATTAACTTGTCGACTTCGTGAAGACACTGATAAAATGCAGAGTCTTTTGACCACCTTATACAACAATACAAGCATGTCCGCGATGCTATTCTCCTCGCTGAAATGCAAAATGTCGCTTCTGGATTGGGTTGAATAGGCACCTGAACTAGTGTGTCTGATAGTAGGTAGGTTCGGCAGTAGGTAGGTAGGTAGGTAGTAGGTTCGAGTCCGCGCATCAATTGTAACCGATGGTTAAACGATTTGAATAACATGGCTAAAAATCGTTTGCGATGGCTCAGATGCATCCATTCTTTGTATTCTCCCAAATTCTAGTTTCCGGACTTCCTAATCATTTTTATTTTTCCGTTTTTAAGTTTATTTCACTGAAATATACTTATGGAATGAAATCTTCGAACCCTAATCTTTTCGATTACTGCTCATACTTTTACAACCTCTACTACTATGGGATTTGAACTGACAATTGCGTCTCTGTGCTAATATGGTATGGCAACCTGAACTGATTTACATACGTACGAAGTTCTACGTTGTATCTGACTATCAATCGTTCAAAGTGTCCTCGTAATACATTTTATTTTCAAGCGTGTGATACTGACTTTCTAGACACTCTCGTGATCACCAGAATTTTTCTTCACTTCGACTCCAGATAGTATCGTCTTCCTAGAAACGTTTAGGTACATTGTAAATTCAGAAATAGAATAGTTACAATACATAATTCATTATTTCTTCGAAAAGTTTTCGATAAAAATTTTCCATTAAGACTTGATTAGACAAAAAATGTTCTTAGCCTTTTCCTGGGCTGCAGGTGATTTTAGTTGAAGAATTCTCTCTCTCTCTCTCTCTCAACACTCCCCGTCTGTCACGATAAACAATAAGTGTTACGGAAGATTTTAAACTATACACCGGTTGATTAACGTGCGAATCCCTTTTATTCGTCATTGATTATTGTACATTGTATTGTATTTTATGATCACTCACCGACTTTGTTTTTCTATTCTTAACATAAAAACATGAACTTATTATGATTCACTTATTTAGAGTTGTTGAAGGTCAACGTCCTAAATGTGCATTGTATTGGCCAACAAGAAAATCTTCCTCATTGTCAAAAGATCAATCTTTCCCGCGCAGTAATAATCATTCAATAGACACAAAAATTAATGATTTAATCAAAGGTAGCCATAACAATTCAACAATCAGTGCTGCTAGTTATGGAGAATTTCAAGTGACTAATTGTGGTGAATTTATTGAAGCTGGTGGTTTATATAAACGAAGCATATTAGAAGTGACATGTAAATCGTCGAAAAATACCACTACTACTCAAATTGGCGTTAGTAAATTAGAACGTGATCGACAAAAAACTAAAACAAATGCTCAAAAGGTAAAGAAAGTATTACATGAAGTTTTTTTAAAAAAAAATTTTGTTATTTACTTATGTATATTTGAAAAATGAATTATTTTAATAAACTACTACGTCCTATTGTATCCCTCCCCGGAACCCCGACCTACAACTTATCAAGAGAAATTTCAAGGATATTAAAACATCTGGTGGATGAATCCAACTACTCCATTAAATCTGCCACACAATTCTTAGATAAACTCAAGGGGATTCAAATTGAAAGAGGACGAAATGATGATATTTTTTGACGTAACAGCCTTATTCACCTCAATAGAGCCAAGCTTAGCTAAAGAAACTCTTTCTCTGCTCCTCATCAACGACACAAATCTACACGAATATACAAAGCTTCAGAATCAAAGTCTGCTTGAACTCATCGACCTATGCTTAATCACCAATATCAGGACTCATCGCCGAAGCTGTAATGCAGAGACTGGAAGCGTCGATTCTGCCAGTGATCAAGCCAAAAATATGGGTTCGCTATGTAGACGACACATTCGTTATTATCAAAAAGAATGAGCTGTAGAACATCTACAATCAGATCAACAACGTCTTTGATGACATCAAATTCACGATGGAAAAGGAATCAAACAACAGCCTATCATTCCTGGATGTACTAATCACCAGAACTAACACAGGAAAACTAGAAACTCAAGTATTTCGGAAGCCAACCCACACCGACGTAATTCTCAACTACGACAGCAACAACCCAAGATTCCACAAGATCAACTGCATACAAACTTTGTTCAAGAGAGCGAAGACACTGCAGCACATACGAAACATTAAAAAACGAGGAAAAACACCTGATGACTATCTTCCAAAAGAACGGCTATCCACGCAACTTCATCAAAAAACATCAACCAAAACCATCATCAGAAGTGAAATCAAGCACAGGAACAAATAAACGCATCATCCTACCATACATCAAAGACATATCGGAGCATATGGCACGACTACTGAAACCATTTGGAATACGTGTGGCACACAAACCAACAGAATCACTTCAATCAATCCTATGTAGACCAAAGGAAAAAATGACAAAGGAAGAAAAACCAAATATCATCTACAAAATAAATTGCTCAAACTGTGAAAAAAACTACATAGGACAAAGTGGACGACCTCTTCAGCTCCGTTTACGTGAACATCAATTAGCAGTCAAACGCCACGACAACGCTTCGCTTATCTCAATAAACACCGACAACTATGGACACACATTTGATTGGAACAATGTGGAAATACTGGGTAGGGAGAGGACAAAGAACACTAGAGAATTTTTAGAAGCTTAGCACTCAGGTCAATTAGCAATGAACAAACATATAGATGACATTGGCCCAATTTATCAACCAATCAGGAGAATCATAGGTGACATTGGATCAAGAAACAGATCAAAAGAGGGAGGCAATCAAAACATAGTTGCAAACAACGACAGGTCAAAGGTCAACAACAACCAATCAAGATCGAGGTTAACAGAACAAGCTACAGGTCAAACGTGGAGAAATTCTAATGCTTCACTTCTATCTGAAGTTCGTGCTGATGATGTTCTTGTTCAGACGACGAACAATGAAAGCTCCACAACCAAAACAACCAGCTCAGAGAACGAAACATCACCATAAACTAGATAGTTATTTTTTGCACATTTCCACACTAATGAATCACGCAGTAGTTAGTATTCATCAGTTTTTCAACATTCAATGTTCATTTTCTCATCTGCCTAGTTGCTTCAATTAAATAACATTTTTTTTTAGCTTTCTTTTATTATTTAGTATTTTTGAAAATGTTCCTTTCACAATATTGTTTTTGACTGACCCTTTGTAAACCATGCTGGGAGATGTTCACTCATTCATTGTGTAAGTTGCCTGGAAGTACGCCCGCTATTCATCAACGACTCACTAACCGAGATTGGTTATCCTAGCGCATTCATAAAGAAGTATATGTCTGCCGTAAAAAATAAAGTCGGTGGTTTCAACCGCCCAAAAGAAACCTTTATTTATAAAGTTACAATTCAACAGGGATGTGGCCTGTGATACACTGCAGGACAGATTAGTAAGAGTAATTAAGTAGAACATTCAACGCTGCCAAATTTACATTGACATTCTCCAGTCGACCAGCGATGTCTAACCAAACGAAGGATAAGTTACCTGAGTTGGCCTCCTCCTCTATGTGCATTTACAAATTCAGCTGCATACTACATTGACTGAGTCATGTCGGTAGTTGTCGACTACCTTGTTGGGGTCCGCAAGATGATAACAATCGATGGTTAGAGACCTTGAATGATATGGCTCAAAATCGTTCTCAATGGCGCCGGTGCATTGATTCTTTGTGTTCTCCCAAATCTTAATCTTCTGGATTCTTCAATCCCTCTAGTTTTGACTTTCTAAACTTTTCTCATTGAATCATACTTCTTGAATAATATCTTCTAATCCTAACCTCTCCGATTACTTCTAATTCCCTTACTACCTCTACTACTATTGGATTTGAATTGACAATCATATCTCTGTGCAGATTTGGTATGACGACATGAACTGATGTACTTACGTACGAAGTTCTACGTTGCATCTGACTGACTGCATACTACTTGGTTGATCATGACTGGTAACTAATTAACTTTCCATTTAATTTTATTTCGAAAAGCACACTGACAAATGTAACATGAGTTAAGTAGGTTGTTTTTCTTAAATTTACTTTGATCCTTTTCATTCATACAGTTTTTACGTCTGTAATTGGTGGATTAGTCTTGCTGTAGAGAGATAATAAGTAGATCAACATATACTCTCAGTTTCATTCCAATCTTATGTTTTTAACTAACCAATGTAGATAATATTCTGAACTTGTTTGTTTTCCTTATTTAAAAAGTTTATAACTTCAAACCTCACTCAATTGCTTCTATGGTACGTACGCTAGCATTTTACTTTTGAAGATATTTGTGACTAAATATTAACAATGTATTCTAATTCTATCGATCATGTTTCATAGCTGTTAAGCAAGTAATACAAGACAAATCCCATTGCTTTAACACAGTTGCTCATTAATAAATGGATGAGATATAGAATAACAATGACTGACTGAACAGGCTTCTTATATATTCATATAAAATTTTCTCAGGCATCACAAGCCACGAAGGATTGATGGTAAAACATCAAAGATTACATAGCATAAGTTGACGCGCTAAACTAATTCACATTCTTAACTGTCAACTTGTCAGTTTTAAAGAAATATTCTTCAATTGAGTGTTTTACATGACCCGACCGTAGCTGCTACCTTGATTTGGTGATCTGGCTTGTCTATCGCTCCGTCCTACTATTATACGAATGCGAAACATGGACGGTGAGAGTAGAGGACATTTGTAGATTGCTTGTCTTAGATTATAGGTGTCTTCGACGCATTGCGCGCATATCCTGGGACAACCGAGTAAGCAATGTTGTCGTTAGGAAACAAGTACTAGGTAGGGATAGCAAATCAATAGATGAAGTATTTCAACTTCATCAGTTGAGGTGGTTGGGACATGTGTTATGTATGCGCAACCACCGATTTCTTCGATGAGCTATGTTTCGTGGTGTAGGATTAAGTTGGAAGACAGCTAGGGGCGGCCAAATCAAAACATGGCACAAATCCATGAAGTCACTGACAAGTGGACTGAGTCATGTTGTTAGATGTAGGCTGCCTGGTTGGAGTTCGCGAGACGGAAGTAACCGATAGTTAGACACCATGAACGACATGGGTCGAAATCGTTTGCAATGGTGCACGTGCATCCACTATTTGTGTTCTCTCAAAATCTAACCTTCTGAATTTCTCATCACTTATATCTTTCTCTTTCTAATTTTATCTCATTGAATTATACTTCTTGAATATTATCTTCAAATCCTAATCTTCTCCACTAGCTCCAATTCTTCTACTATCTTCACCACTATGGGATTAGAACTGATAATTGTGTCTCTGTGCTAATGCGGTATGGCAACCTGAACTGATGTACGTACGTATGAAGTTCTACGTTGTATCTTCTGTCTGTCTGTTTGTTTAACTGTTACATGAAAAGTTAATTTATCTTGTTAATTAATCTTTTCTATGTACTCGAAACTCCACACCTTATTTAATCAGCACCTTCAACGAAGATAACTAACTCCTTTATCTATGTATCCTTTGTTGATGAAATAATCTTCACTTAATAAAATGCCAATGATCGATCGTATAGTCAAACTAAACTATTTTTTCAATATCAAATAAAAATTTATAGAGAAGTGAATAAACCATTCATTTCAAATGATAATAGTTCATCATGCTCTTAGACGCACATTCATCAAATAAATAGCGGTCGAAAGTGAAGCTCTGAATAAAATCTATCCATCAATAACAGTATAAACTTTAATTCAGGATATCTTTTTCCTGTTCCTGCAAAGGATAATATACCGCCGAGAATTCATCATTACGGAGTTGTGAAGATTGTTAAGTTACACATTTTTGAAACCATGAATCGATCAACGTTAGACCACCATTAGAAACCTGGAAGCACTGGACGGCCGTTTCGTCTTGGTATGGGGTTGCGCAACTCCGTGAATTTGACCAAGTTAGACATTAACACCGTTAGATATCGGCACAATACCGAAGGTCCCGGGTTCGGATCCTGCGGGGTGCAGGAGTCGTGGGTGCGCACTGCTGAGGAGTCCCATACCAGGACGAAACGGCTGTCCAGTTCTTCTTCGAGGTTTCTAATTGTGGTTTTGAAGAATTAAAATATCGTTTTACTATCAACACTTCTACTGATTATCAAATTTCCTTCCCAATAAAATCGAAGTCAATATGCATTGTATATTTTTTAAACGAAATCGATGAGAATTGATTTTAAGTAAATATTAAATAATAATTATGTTCACACACAAACAATCGGAAATTTCATTCTGTTAGGATATCAGTACTACTACTGCTGCTACTGTAGTGAAGGAGAACACAGGTGAGGGCAACCGAATTGTATTTATCGCAAATTAAAGAGT